CGGCTCCGTGCACGTCTCCTGGCCACAACACCTGGGCTCCGGCCAGGCAGCCTACGTGACCACGAGCCAAACCCCTCCAAGCCTCAGTTTACCCAGCCCCAACCCATCCCCTAAGTACGCGGATGACGAGATCGGTCTGAAATGCCCCGAGATCGGGCGCTGGCCACAGGAGGCTGGGCAGGACGGGTGATGGTTTGCTCGAAGTGGCCAGTCCCCACGGCTCGGACACGTGCGCCATGACCAAGGTGGCAACAGTGCGCTCATGCATATGGGAATGTCTCATGGAAAAGGTCACGCACAAGCTTAGGAGGAGGGAATTAATAGATGCTGTAGTCATTGGTGAAGCATGCGGTGTGTTAAGGGCACGTACACACCTTGCACGTCCACGCCAGTGCCATGACTGCAGCAGACACTCGCCTCTCCAAAGGACTCCCGAACCGAAATCGGGGGCTACGGCAGACCTGACGCCCAGACGCCTTCTCACCTGACCAAGGCGGACAGCAACACTTCCTTCGCCTGCAGGGAAGCTGCGAGCTCCTCGGGATCCAGCCACCTGCCCACGTGCTTGCACCAGCATCCAGCACAGGAACAATCCTGACCTTGTCTGGTGCCCCAGGAGCTCCTGCAAAAATAGCTTTTCTGGCTGATGGGGCAGAGGAAAACCCCAGCCTTCCCCAGCTCTCCCCTCCATACCCTCCCAAAACACCTGCTAATGCTTCCTGCCCTCGGCCCTGATTGCCTTCCTCCTAGGAGGAGGATTCTTAACAGAGCCAAAGCTGCAGCTCGTAGGCTCCAAGCTCCCTCATTTTTTAGAAGCAAGGGGCTGTAACACCAAGTGGACTTTGCCTCTCCTGTTGGGACAGGGTTCGCTTTTTTGCAAAGGGAGCTCTCCGCGGCTGGGCGGCCGCTGGCAGCCCGGTGCCCTGTGCTCGCCGAGCTGCGCTCCCGGGTGACTTGGATCAGGATACACCAGGAAGTTTGCTTTCGGCTGCGTCTGTCCGTGCGTGGGTGTGCAAACACTGACCCATTTCACTGCCGGTTCGACTCCTTTAAATGGGGACTTTCACATTTGTCAGGCTTGAAAAAACAACACCATCTTTGAAACAAAAAATACATTTCCCCTTCCATTGGCTGCC